CTTTTGATTTTGAGTAGAAGGCGAACTGTAGGCGTTATTGTCGATGTACTGAGGTACTCGGTTCGATGCAAGGATCCCGCAGTGAATATGCAGCTATAGGTAGAGTCAGGACACAGCATTCGATGGGGATTTTGGTCGAGCCTGTACGACCCCCCCCTTTTTTGGGTTCGGTACGACCCCCCCCTTTTTTTGCCGTTCGGTTTTTTCGCCTTAAATGAAACTATGAAACGCCCACTATGAAATTCTACTTGTATGAAGGTGCCCATACTAAATGGACGACTTGAAGTCATGACATAATAGAACAATACAGAGATGATTGCAAACAAAAAACGGTACAATCGTATTATGAGAAACTCGTATGATGAACTTCTTCGATGGCCGTTTTGAAACACACATGGTAATAATAACGATGTATCGCGATTAAATTCAATGAGCATTCGTTAACCTGAGGTGGACTCCCTCTCTGGGAGCGGCCATCAGCGACCACAGTGTTAACAACGTCTATTCCCAAGATTGAGGACGAGGAAAAGAGAAAGTTAGGCTTGTCTCACTACGTAACAGTTATACAAACCGCCGTAAAAATGCATTACCCCGATTATTGGAGTACGGTAGCAGAAGCGCATGTAATTGCGGCTGTGACAGGAGATTATTCGGCAATTTTAGCCATGGAGCGAGAATTTCCAGCTGAGTTAGGTGTCTTGAAGGACCATAACTTCCTCAAAAGCGGACCTGTGGGGAAGAGGAGACCGTACTCGTGTAGAGGAAGGTTTGCACTTCCTAAAAGTACTGAAACGTTTATGAAGGTCGCAAAAATCACAGAGAAATCTGCCATGGGGATTCGTTGGGGAGTGATTTCAACTGAACAGGTTTGAATCAATATATTTTTTTGTAACTCAACATTTCACAAATCTGAGAACGGTTTCGAGTGTTTGAAGATTTTCTCTTTCTAAAAACCTCTTGAACTGTTTCTGAAGCTCTCGGGATTCATGAGATCTCGCTATGGGGATTTCTTGAGGAACACTCCCAGCTGCGCGAAAAACCCGTTTCCTGTGTACCGTTTCAAGTGAGCGTGTTCGAATAGCCAGGAACGCATGTAGAACGTATCCTGTGGAGCAGGAGCAGGATATGGTTCGTTTAGCGCCGATCACGCCAACTTTGGATGCGCCGCGCACTGAGGGCCGCGCAGAGGTGATGGGATGGTGCAACTTGTGCGTAATGTCTGTTCACGCGAGCAAATGTGTCTATAAGGTTCAGGGAGGTCCATGGCGAGCCTGTGCACTTGTTTACAGTGTTTTCCGTTGCGTATGATGGAACATGTCCCTGTCAACGCTGCCAGATTCGTGCTCCGCCAATCGCTGACTCCGATAAAGGAGACCAACTGCTGGAAAACGTCTGATATGAACGATATGGTAGTCCTGTCGCTTGTCGAGAAAAAAACAGGTTGGCTCAGCGCCAAGCGCGACCGCGGACACGCCATATCATTGGCAGCGAACCAGAGTTTGAGTTGTACTGTTTAGTCACCAACGGACTTACGAGATAATGTCGACTTATTAATATTTGCAGTTATTTCGGATTAGTTTGATGAATGAAAGTTTTGTACTATTTTTTGCATATCCGAGTTCTCTACAAAGCAAGTTTCGTTGTACAGGACTCAGCACATTGACAATTTGCGCTGCTCGTTACTGGCTGCCGCACTCACTACGACCCCCCTCTCCTGGCGGCCAAATACGACCCCCCTGTTGGGGATTCCCCAACCAACGATGTGCCCTGGGTAGAGTACAGCCAGAAGTGAGAGGGCACAAACTATCAGGGCTTTTGATCATGACTGGCAGTGTGGCAGCGCAGGAGTAGTATGAAGACGGCACTCGTGTATCGCTACCTGCCAGTCCGTTCCCTGTTTATAACCGGGGACAGTGCACTTACAACTAGAGAATGTCATCTGCTGCAGCTTGAGGCAGTAGATGTTATAGCGCATTGGTCTAACTTAACATCCATCTGCTGGCAAAATGAAAGTGCTTCGTTTAGGTTATTTTAACCCTAGCATTCAGTAATACATATATAATACTGCCATCGGTTGATGCTGTTGAAGATTTGGATTTCCTTGTCAAAAGTAGGCTAGATTTTGGAGATCACGTGAGCAGTGTAGTAGCTAAAGCTGAACAGAGAGTCCTTCTATTGTTTAATTCGCTTATTTCCAGATCTCCGTTTGTACTTGTGAAGGCGTACAAAACTTATGCGCACTCAGTACATGAATATGGCACATATATGTATTTTCCTCGCAAGAAGATGCGCATTGGCGAACCAGTAAGGGTGCAGAAAACTTAACAAGAATGATTTTTCTTAGAGCCCTTGGCTTTACATACAAAAGTTTACCTCGAGGTGTGGTGAGGAATAAAATGATCAACTTGGACCCAATATGTGTGAGGCTTGAGCAAAACGACATTCTCATGGTTTACAACATCCTTAGCGAGCGCACAAGCGCACTGATCTGAACTATCGGTGATTCTATGGTACTGCGTCTTGCACGACTAGAGGTTGAAAGTTCAAGCTTGTTTTTAGGCAACCGCGTACTTTGTTGGGGCGCAAGTTTCCACTTTTCGTGCAGGCATAGACTTTTTCAAAATGAGCAGAGCCATACCGATACCCAATCCTTTCTTGTTCAAAAATAATTTTTCGATATTCGCTTCGGGTGAAGAAGGTTCTTCTTTTTTTGCTGTATTTTCTTTTTAGTTTTGCTATTTCTTAATAATTTGTTCTGATTTCACCTACTCACAGGTCACAGCGCATGTAATAAATTTGAGAAGCAGCCTATCTTATATATTCTACGATAGATTAGCTGAGACCTTTGTGGTTAGAAATGGATTTAGACCTTCTAAGTGGTCTGTCATAGGAGGAAAAAAAAGTATGATTTCAGAAATTCTCGAAGCGGTGCACTTAGACTTGTACATCTCTGCTGAAAGGAGGCAGTTGCATTAAAGTGGGGAGTGAGGTACGGTGTCAGTATTATTACTCCCTGTGTGTTATTATACCCTACCCAGATTACCTACTAGATTACACACTACCCAGTGTCTAATATTTTCAACATTTTGACGTTTTTTTTTGAACATTTTTCTAATATTACTGCACCTCACCTAACTGGCCTGTTATAACTGCTGCGGACCAATACAGTGCGTGGGGTGGCGTATACGTCGCTTACGTCGCTGTACTATTAGCGTTGTGCCCGACGTCTGAGTCGCGCCATTGCGCGCAATCTAGCAGGGTACTTCCTAATAAGCTGACTTTACACAATGAAGTATGTCTTCGTTGTATCAGTGGACTCCTGTTTCGAATATCACCGACGCGACGCCACGCCGTCGACGCCTCTTTCACAACATTCTGCAATGTAATACACGCGAGCTGTAGTACACCCCTTCATATCCTTAGAGTACCTTGTGAGGAAAGCGGTCAAACTGGTATATGGGGCAGAGAGGAAAATTTCACACTTTGGACACATTCATCAGTAATTTCTTGCGGAATCCCTGAATAATCCTCTTCATTAACGTCTCTATTATTTACAAAAAAAAACGGTTGCAAGCTAATTGTTATTATATGTACAGTACATTGACAGATACATAGCTCTAGTGGCAAAATGGAATACAACACCGTGATTTGAGTCATGATCAGGTCACAAATACATGAATGGTAATAGATGAAGATGAGGTGGTCAGTACAGCGATCCTTGGGACAATCTCATCCATGGGTTTTCGCAAAGTTTGACAAATAGTGTCAGTATCGAATTCTGTTCTGTTTTATGTGTAGCACATAACTCTTCAACAGTTCAGTTTTATGTGACAAGGTTTAGAGAACCGAGCGATTATCAAGAAATTGGTTCTGGCCCACAAATACATGGTACCACAACTTTCCGAGTCCCTTGTTTAGCACGTGGTAAAGAGGGCTGAGATGTCCGTCCACCTAATATTTTGACCGCGCTCCAGGGAACTGTCAACCGTTGCCCCTGCTCCTCCTTCCTTTTTCTTCCTCGTTCCTTCTTTTCCTTCCCTAATTTTCTCTTCCCTCCCCTTTATTTATTCCAATGTAAATTCCAGTAGATAAAGGCCAGTAAATGCGATGAGAAAATACCTCTGAACGTTTTTAGGTAGAACGAAGCGGACATACTGTTTTGATGACTTTTCCCCATAAGGCTGAAGGAACACCTAAAAGCTGGAATCTTAGCAGCTTTCAGACCGCTTTTGAGACACCGCTCTTTGCTGTACCCATATGAGCGTAAGCCCGGGATAAATGTGATTCACTGGAAGGTTTATGATCAGGTGGAAACAGAAGGTATAAGAGACACTAAAAACACAAAAGCCACCTTTTAGTTAACACGAAGAAGGAGCGGTGAGCAAAGACTTGGGGCGTAGGATGTGGGTGGATGAATGATACGGGACATATAGTGACCTAGAAGGTAGCACTGCATCGTCCCTGCCTCACGTGGCTTGGAAAAAGAGCCCGTTCACCCCTCTCCACCACAACCTGGACCAAAGATTTGAAGGCGCGCTATAAGCCTGAAACCTTGCCACACAAAACTGTGATGCCTTCCATTTATGACAGAATTTCTTGGAAGGATGGGATGAAACTTGGTACACCAGGGAATTGAGAACCCTGCGATCTTACCCAAACAAGTATCGCTGTCGCGTGAAGTGTTGACTGCCTCATCTCTAAACACCGATTCTGGTCAAGAAAGTTCATCAACATTTGACGTTCCGTGTCAGAAAGTTGGGGAAGATAGTATGGTTGCACTCCAGAGAAATATGTGGATACAACGCAAACGGACCCAGTAGGAAACAGTTCCTTAATGTCCCGCTCACACTTGCGAAAGACTTCCAAGTCGTGCCAGGAAGAATGACTGCGGTTGCACTTTGTCGAAGGCTATAGAAGGCACTTAGGTGTTGAGCATTCAGTTGCCTAGGTAGTCCTGCAGGATCCGCTCCTTGTATCACGACGATGCTCTCTAGACCGATTCACCTTTCCAAGAGAGTTAGAGGATTGGGTGAAAGATCAAGGCCATGGCCAGTAGGGTTTAGTAAGCAGAAGGTGCTTGTTTCGTCGAACTTTTGCCTCTTCTTTGGAAGCCAAACTGCGTCGTCGGTGCTTGTGTCGGTTGTGTTGCTGGAAATCACGTTTGTGGTATGGTCTCGCAAAGTCTTAGGAGCCTTCAGATGAAAACGACTAACCTTATGGCGATGGTGAATGACAGTCGGTGTTGTGCTGGGGACGTTCCTGGAGAGCGAGTTGTTAAACAACGGGAACGAAGCTGACATTGTCAACAGGACCAGAACAGCCAGTAACCTGAATACTTCATTAGAAAAGGGATATCGCCTAATTCCCTTTCTAAGATTCCCCAACGTATCTGAGTTGGTTCAAGTTTAATGATATGATAACTTTCGCAGAATGCGATGCGAGCGATTTCATGACCTTGTGACCAGAATCGGCTCGTTTTCGCCATTCTGGTTAGGCGAGTCACTCCGGTTTCCCGAACAGGAAACCTTTTAGGTTCCAGTACGGTAAAACAGGGGAGGGGATGTCTATTTAATTCATCATTGAAGCTCTGACGATCAGTAAAACTTTAGGGAGTCAAAGGAACCTCGAAACTTCAACCAAACAATCAGAAGCCAAAACGAACCTGATAAGCATCATACTGTGAGCAGCTGCAGGGAGTGATTTTCTAAAACTTGACGGTATTCAGCGAATTTGAACAACGTAACGAAAAAGTGAATGTTGAAGTGCACAAGGTCTAAAGGCTCGAGATTCACAGATATAGATAAGGAGTAATCGAGTAACGGGTTTTGCTCGCTCAAAGAAATGGGCATTGGAGATAGGGCACGTCCTGCTGGTGGGAAAGATCCCTGGGAAATACGACCCCTTCCCTCATTCTGCATAGCACCTAGTATCTTGCCCTTTTTTCCAGGCTTCCTACAATTTTTTCGAAATTTTCCAAAGATTTTTCTCGAATTTTTCTCAAGCTGGGAGGGGCAAGAGGTGGGGGCATATAGCAGCAGTTGAACGGGAAAAAGTGCTGAAAGACGACAACAGGAAGGAGTATTATGAGACTTTCTCGGTAGCAGACAAGGCAGATAGGTACGACCCCCCCCCCTGCTCTCCTAAGGACGAGCAAATACGACCCTCGTTCTCTGGAGAAATGAAACAGAACACAATAAAAAATTCTTAGATTAGACCAAGTGCGACCCGCCCCCCCCCGCCGCTTGGGATTCTCCATGTAGACGTAGTGGCAGATTGGCAGATTGAAAAGATTGTGGAATTTTAATAGGATGAAATAGGATATGCACAACATATGTAACGAAGGACTGCAACATTAAAAGTATTTGTGGTGTTTGACTTTTAAGTCAAACTGAAAGTGCTAGAAGGAGTAATGTCAGGCCAAACATCAACCACGTTGGTGAAAGTGATCCGGAGCCGCAAGTTCGACTTCTCTCCTCACGAGGGCGGAGTTGACCCGTATCGCGCCACATCGTCGGCGCACGCTCTCTCTCAAACGAACGGCGAATGCGCAGCAGCGGAACCGGTGATATGTGATGCGTTATAGAGGTGATTCAATCAGTGAAAGCGCACCGAGAATCGAAAACATCGCGATTAGGGAAACACGATCTGCAACGGGACCACATGTAGAATTAATAAGGCCAATTCCGTGCTTGACGAGAAATGAGAAAGACAAATCACAAGCACATTCCTATACGGAGGACCTTCCACAGAAACACCTGGAGGACGAGGCGGTAGAATTTTGCCTGTCTATTATACAGTCAAAAAGACGCCATCCCGCAATCACAAGTCGTAGGTAGTGAGGTTCAAACACTTGTGACAACGTAGTAAGTTACTCAACTACAAGTAAAAGAAATAGAAGTTTCCGTAATGCCCTAGACTCCTGCCGATCAGGGCATCCACACACGGTAACGAGAGGGTATACTTGGACCATATCTCACTAGTTAGTATTAATTCATCCTCTTATCCCCTGTTCCTCACCACTCGGTATGGAAAGAGCAGAAAAACAATCGCTCACAGAAAGCCATTAGGAATGAAGTTGAGTCTGGTATGGGGCTGTGGGCGGTGTATTGCCTTCGTGACAATCGGGTAGAGTCATTGCCACCTATTTTGAGTAGCGAAAAAGGAACATCCTCCGCGCTTGCGCACTGGCTGACACCCTTCATCCCTGAAAACGAGAATGCGCCCAAGGGGACGCGGGGTCGGAGCACAACCAGAGAGCCTTTCTCTCCAGGGGTCGTGAGCGCACAGCAAGGTATAATAGGAAGACAATAATGTAGAAGCACGGTGGAAAAGGTTGCCTTGGCTGTGTTTCAATCCGCGCATCTGGAGGGCGCAACATGGTGGAAAGACACGGGGATGAAAAAAGTTTCCTGGCTGCGTTCCAGTCCACGCCTCTTCAGACGCCATTTCTTTTACACTGATAGAGATTGTACTCATCCAAGGGCGCCGCACATCAAAGAGTATTTTTAGTTTAGCTCAATTCGTGCTAGCCATGTTCAAGATCTAAAGGGGCAGAGGCAGATATGTGAAGATATATAAAATGACAACCAGCTGAAGGATTTTTTGTTCCAAGCACGCCTACAGAGTATGTAGGGCTAAGAGGAAAACCACTGCTCGTAAAAGTTCTTCCTAGCGTTCTTGTCCAACAGTTGCCGGGTACGCTTTTTTTATCAAGGCTTTCCCACGACCGCTAGTCCAGAAATCGGTTGCGAACGGACTAGCAGCAATCATTTCCTTCATCAGGTCTTGGTTCATCTAGCCATCCCATTAGAGGGGCCGTTTACCGACAAAATGACCTTTCCAGCTGACCTGCACACGGTATCAGGAGCTCTTCGTTAAACATGATGATAACAGCAGAGAAAATGTGGCAGAAATCCGTTCGACTTTATTTTTTGCCTCGAATGTTTTGGTTTCGGATTCGGTCTAGCCGTGTGTCCCACAGACACCATCGTAGCATTCTCATCTCGATAACACAATTGGCTTCTGGTGACTTATTGCTAAATCTCCCGTGATTTGGCATTCTCTTATTGCTAAGAACCATTCCATTGTATTGCTCTTATGGAACGAACCCCTAAAACTCGTTCCGCATGAAGTGAGGGGGTAAGTGCACCATCTGGACATTCACATTATGCACCAGACTTAATGCTGGCATCTTCAGAATCCTCATGCGAGAGAGCTCCACGATCAGCTTCACTTGTAACGTGAAGCCACGAAAAACAAATGGTGTAATATTCCGACTTTGTCTGTTGGTGCCTTCACCTCAAAGCGACCGTCACCAAAGTGCAGGTGATCCTGCCGAGGAAGTAACGCATGTTCGACTATGTACTATAGGCTTTTTTGAGCTCGACGGATGGATGTCTTCTTTCAGAGGTGGAATTAGAGGGGAAGGTTTGCTCTCGACTGCACAGGGACATATCAGGAATATCACTCGACTCGTCCTAGTCCATGTGTCCCCCCTGAGCCACATTCGTGTCCCATTCACTTGATTCAAGCAATTTTATTGTAAAGCAGAGAAAATGGAATACTGAACATAAGCTGAATCCTACACCTCTCGTCATTGTCAGAGTAGCTATTCAAAAGTCTATAGTTTTCTGAACATTCTCAAAAGATTCAGAATCTCTAGATCCCCCACCATACGCATTAGCTTATCAAACACTAAAGAAAACCCGTCTTCATCAATGAAAAGACCTTTGTCGCTAACACAAACCAAACCTGTAAAAGAGAAGGTATGAGTAGTCGGAAGTGAGACAAAGGACTTTCTATGTGATCTTGAATCAAATGTTGAATGAGTGATAAACAGCAAGAGTAAAGTAAAAGGGATAAGAGAAGATTTCAATGCCCACAAACAACAAACCAAAAAGAGAAAAAAGAGTTCGTCATTGCTATCAGCTTTCGAAGGTTCACGTAATCGGGGTGCTAAGGCCACGAAGCGATAAGCGGCAGTGATATAGCAATCCGCGGAAATTCGCGTGACCAGCATGAGATAAGCTGGACTACCGATACCACGCTTGAACAGTAATGGTTGGACACCATTTAGGTTACGCCCTGCCGCTGGGGAAAATTTATCCTATTATAAATCCCTCCCTATGGTGCGAACCCCCGTTTTCCATCCTACCTACCAGTTTCATAGATTTTCCCGACTTCCTACCACGTTTTACAGATTTTTCGGAATTCTCCAAGCGTTTTTTAGTTTTTCCTCAAAATTTTGCCGTCGAGGTCGAGCGAAGGAGGAGAGGCGAGAGCATATATAACACATGTGGACTGAAAAAAGCGCGAAGAGTCAACATCCGGGAAATTTTTTTCTCCAACGCCATAAATTTCATTCACAGGCAGCACGACCCCCTTCCCTCCAGCGACCAAATACGATCCCCCCCCCGCTGGGGATCCCCCAACGTACGACGTGGTCACACAGGTATACCGGGTGGGTCGTTTTTCAAGTGAGCAATGGCGGATCTGTGTGAAGATGCGAAATAGGTATACCCTGTACTCCGCGATCCGTTCTGAAGAATTTTTAATGGGACTGCTGAAACTCCTCATGAAAACAACGAGAGACAAGGAGTTCAGCCCTCTTTGCAAAAAAATAGTAATAGAAATGGAGATTAGGTGCAAGTTGTGCGACTCAAGATCTTGGTAGAGAGTGCCTGGAGTTAGTTTTCTTTTCCGTACGTCTAGTAGTGAGTATCGTAGTAGAAATAGATGCAAGTGAAGCCTGTTTTAGCAGACTAAAGGCGTGCTCTTCGTGTTAGATAGTTATTCTACTAGTGCAGACCCTGATAGTGAAGCGGAACAGTGACAACCAACGTGATGCCGTTGCAGTCATTGTGGCATACCATCGAGACTAATTCGACACCGCCAACACCACAGTTCCGCTGGCGGACAATACGACCACGTCCACAATGGCAAACCACTGGCCACCACTGGTAATGTTGGTGATACTGACTGGGCCAGAACAAAGTTAGGCAGTGGTACTGAAATCCGCCCAAGTAATTGAAAATCAATGCTGTGCCAGAATTCCGCTCAATGGAGACATTGTTCATCTTATTCCTCACAAGGATGAACAATGTTGTTGCGAGGTCTACTGCAGAAAGGAGAACGTTCCTTCTATGATACGAAGGAAATGTTTTGAGTGCTAATGAACTGTGCACTTGCGTTCGAGCTATTGCATGTTTCGTTGAGTTAGTCGCCCTCGCAGGGTTCAGAGGCATTTTTTGTTGCATCTACTGGTCGAGCATTTGAAGGTAGAAGGAATAGGAAGAGAGAAGGAGGGGGGCGGCGAAGAAAAAAGGAAAGAGGAAGAAAAAATGAAGTGAGAGGGAGGTTTCGCGGTTGGTAAGGGTCTTGAGACGGTTCTTGTCTCCTTGTGAAAGATGATTCATCGCTCTCGATTTTATGATAGACCCTAATAGAAGATCAACTGTATGCGCAAGCCCGTAGCCAAATCTGTTTAGTGTCCTTCGCTCACAGAAGTTGTTGGACTTGCAGACGCTTGGACACCGGAGCCATTGCGCGGGCACCAGCCGAATCAGTTAAAGCCGATGCGTGATGTGAATGTAGGGATATTCCTCCCCTACATTCGTGGACAAAGTATGAAGAAAAGTTATCTGGGAAGAACTTTCTCAGTGGGGTGCTGGATTTTC